GACTGTAAGATCTCATTCTCTGGAGCAAGACAGAGTGCAAGGCTGTGTTCACTTGTTGACAGATGACACCAGAAGTCCACAATGAGTTCTGTGTGAGATGTTAATGTATTGTTGGGTTGGGTTTTTTCTGCTTTCTCTTCTTGTTTTTGCCATTATTCATTTCTCAGAGACAAAGTAAAACAAGTTTCTTTATTCTTCTCTCATTATATAACTGAAAGAAAGAAGAAAGAAAGAAAGAAAGAAAGAAAGAAAGAAAGAAAGACAGAAAGAAAGAAAGAAAGAAAGAAAGAAAGAAAGAAAGAAAGAAAGAAAGAAAGAGGAAGGAAGGAAGGAAGGAAGGAAGGAAGGAAGGAAGGAAGGAAGGAAGGAAGGAAGGAAGGAAGACATCACATTATTTTGGGTTTTTATCTTTGGGTTTTATATCCAAATAAGAATAGTGCAGGTATACAATGAAAGATTCTTATTGTTCTTTTATTACTTAACAAAATGGAGCATTATAACTTATGTTGTCAAAGATGTAGCCATTTTTAGGCAACTTTCTCTCTTCACTGTTATGCTTTCTCCTGGGAGAACAAACTTGTCACACAGTTCACTGCATACTTTCCTTTGTCACAGCAAAGGGAGATGATTAAGGACTCATCTGACCAGGAACCCTCTCATTTGCGCCATCTGTCTTTCTGTGCTTTCTTGAGGGAATGCAATAAAATGACTTTTTTCCTTTCCCCCCTCATTTAGTGTTCTATGAGACTGTGTGTTAAGCCCTATTTTAAGAATTTGAACAAGCAGAGACCCTGCCACTTTGAACAATTTTTCTTTTCCTTTTGTGCTTGCCATTTCAGTTGGAGAAATCACACACATTTTTTCCTCTAATACTGTTAAGGGAAAGGCTATCTTAAGATTGCTGCTCTCAGGGCCAATTTTGTTCTCCCATTATTGTTCTGACTTCAAGGATATGATCTCAGGATCGATGGACACAGAAGCCAAACCTGCCAGGTGGACACATGGAAAATCAAATGACATTCACTCATTCCTCAAATGGCCAATTGCACCTATGTCTAGGTGAAATGTCTTGCCTCTTTGATAATAAATGGGAGCAATAAAGGGAGTGAGGTTGGAAAAAAAATTGCATTTTATCATATTTAAGGTTGTTTAAAGTTTCCTCATCAAAATAAATCTGAGAGAGGTAAAAAGGAAAGTATTTGTGATTATTTTAATAAGAAACCAAAATAGATTGACAATATAAATATGCCTGTAAGAAATGTATCCATGTTTATTATATGTAACAACTTAATGGTTCTTTGCCAATGTAAACTTGTCACACCATAAAGCTAACCTAATTGCCATTTTTTCAATTTGGAAATGCTACAATATACGGCACTATTGTTTCACAGCACAATTAAAAAAGGTACTCGCTATGATGCTACGGTAAATACTGAGCCTAAACTATTTTAAAAATTGCTTCAATAAGAGTAGTTTCATGGCTATTAATCTCATGGTGGTTTGAATGATAATTGCTTCACCTGTATATTCAATAAAAACTGCAGCCATCTACATGTGCTAGGCACTGTTGTAGGCCCTGAGAAATAGAGGTGTAGGCAGATAAGACTCTGTAATCATGAAGTCTATGCTGCACACAAGAACACACCACTTTGTAATATCAAAAATTATTCTTACAGGTATTTGTTCAACCTGTATTTATTGAACTATACACCAAGTACTGTACTATCAGGATAAAATACAATGGTGAAAGAAATATAATTTGCAGAAAAAATATTTAAAAATACAGGCAGATAAGTACACATTGGACTTTAACTTTGCTATTAATTTTAATAATTAATATATAATTATTGAATTTAATTCATAATTATTGAATAACTACTTTGCACTAATAATAGGGTATGTTTGTCCTTAGAATATAATATAAAACATAATTTCTGTCCCAGGGATAGATTATAGACTTAAAGAATGATGGGAGTAAATGTAGGTTTCTAAGGGAACTCAAATGACTTCTTAAGGAGTCAATAAAGTCTTTTTTCTAGAAAAGATTTCATTGCTAGGTGCTAAAAGAAGATAAATGATTTTAAAAAGAGGAATTGAAACTATTTAGCATTATTCAAGGTGATAATGCAGCACAGGCAAAAGTCTGTAGGATAGAAAGCTATGGCCACGTTTATGGGGCCTGCCGAGAATCATTTGGTATCGCTGGGACTTAGATCTCAAGATGTGGTCTGATGGAGGAGAAACTAAGATGGCGGCAGAGATAAACACCGGGAAATTAATGCCGCACACAGC